AAAATTCATATTTACGATAAATATAAAAAAAATATAATTATGTGAATTAATAAATATAAAATTCATATTTACGATAAGCATAAAAAAAATATAATTACATAAATTAATAAATGTAAAATTCGCATTTACAATAAATGTAAAAAAATATAATTATATAAATTAATAAATGTAAAATTCACATTTACAATAAATGTAAAAAAAATATAATTATATAAATTAATAAATGTAAAATTCACATTTACAATAAATGTAAAAAAATATAATTATATAAATTAATAAATGTAAAATTCTCATTTACAATAAATATAAAAAATATATAATTATATAAATTAATAAATATAAAATTCACATTTACAATAAATATAAAAAAAATATAATTATATAAATTAATAAATATGAAATTCACATTTACAATAAATATAAAGAAATATAATTAAATTCAAAATCGACATTCCCCCTTTTCCCTGTGTTAGATCAGACAAATAAGCTTCTTTTTTTTTATAATTTATCCGTTTAAAAAATGCACAAAAAAAATACCATCATTCGTTGATACATTTCATCGTTCATTGTCGGCAGTACATGAACGACGCTACCCCTTTTTTAAAAAATGAGAACGCTCACGTTCGGGGGGCGTTAAACATCGTCGTGCGCGCTCATTTCTCGTTAATAGACCGAGGGGCACGAGGAATCGGCTCATTTGTTGCGTATTAGCAGAGGCTTAATGAGACTTCTTGAAGAAGCTGCCGCCTTTTGCGATGAACGCTGCCAAGTGACTCTCGTGTTTTCCGAAAAGTAGGAGGGAAACGAACGAGGTACGCCCCCCGCACGAATTTTTCGTGGGACCGGGAAAGATTTCGAAAATCACCGGTTTACACCCGGCTGCCGGCCGTCGAGGTTAAATCGATTTTTACCTCGACATTTATTTCGATCTCGCCGCGTCCCGTCAAGAGGGAACAAAAATTTCTGTTTTGAACGTCGATCGTTTCAATCTTTTCTTCTCTCTCCTTCGTTGTCGTCGTTCTAAATGCTACAACAAACTAAACGGGGACCAACGTAGCCTGTCTGCGTTGGTAAAAATAGCCGCGTGCAACAAGATTCGTCAATAGAGCCTGTTTCTCGCGTCTGCCGCGCGTGGAACGTAAAATTCACACGTTCTAGTGAACTTGGAAAAAAAAGCAGTTTCTTTTCTGTTTTAAATCTGTTACGCAATCGTCTCGTTGCCGCTGTTACGCTCGTTTTCGCTGTTTGCGCATTATTCGATGACAAAGTTGGAATAGCAAGCAGAGAGACTCGCAGTGAGTTGCATTTTTTATTATTTATCCAGTGGAACAGTGAAAAAGAAGAAATTCATTAACAAACTAAAAATAAGAATGAAACAAGAAGTCTATGTTTTTTTTTTTTTTTTTTTTTCAAATCGAAACTGTTTAGATACCAAAAGGACAAAAAGACACTGCGTGCAAAGTACTCTGAAAATGCGTTAAGTCGAGAGATAGGATCCCCGAAGGAAAAGAAAATTCATTGACGAATAAGAAAAACGAACATCGACTATTACACTTATATTTTTTAATCTTGAAACAGAGAACCAAAGGAAACTGGAACAACAAATGGAGATCCTCGTGGCCAACACAACAAATTAAAAATGAATTTTTCAAGAAGACAATCGCTTGTTCTCTATTGAAACAAAACTTGAGTCAAATATTCGTCCACTAGTATCCCTCAACTTGTGATTTGTGCAAAGTTCAATCGACAGTGGAGAAAATCAACTGAACGTTAACAAGTTATTATAACCTGGATGACAACCTAAAAAAAAATAAAGAAACTAAGAAAGTAAAATTATTACGCTTTCAAAGACAGTCTAATCTTTATGATGTTGTCCAACCCGGACAATATTGAATCTATGTAAATACTAACAATGAGCTAGCAAGTCCACACAAAAGTGAACTGTGAAAAGTTAGTCATAAGGGCAAAATCCAGTAAGTTAGTTCCCTTCCACTTGACGATGATAACCAAATATATATAAAGACATGCTTCAGAGACATTTGAGAGCATAAAATATTCTAAATCATTATAGAGACATTCTATACCATTAATAGCATATAACATTCTGAATCATTATGGAGGCATTCTATATCATTAAGAGTATAAAACATTCTAAATCATTATAGAGACAGTTTATATCATTAATAGCATAAAACATTCTAAATCATTATAGAGACATTCTATATCATTAATAGCATATAACATTCTGAATCATTATAGAGACAGTTTATATTATTAATAGCATATAACATTCTGAATCATTATGGAGACATTCTATATCATTAAAAGCAGCAAACATTCTAAATCATTCTAGATCATATTCAAGAGCATTAAACATTGTGAATCATTCTGTATCATTCTATTTCATACACGACCACGACTGTAAGGGAATAAACTCTTCTAAATTGTAAGCCTGTTGACTTCACTACGGACGGAATCCAACAATGACAAATTGTAAGAGTTCCACGTCCAAGTTAATAATCCATGCAATTGATCGATGCGACTATGAATAATGAAAGTAAGATGAAAAGAAAGGAAATAAAAATCGAAGAAAAAGTCAACTTTAAATACCAGTGAAACAGCATTGAGTACGAAGTTAAACTCTGAATGAAGCTAAATCAAAGGGCAGGATGTCCGATGAAAGACGAAGATTTGGAAAACAAAAAGAGAAGAACCTGCACCATTTACAGACAAAATGAACGTACACACCATGGGGGACCAACCCTCATAAACCAGTCAAATTTGTCCACATTTCCCAGCCCCTCTGTATTTAAAGTGTCGTAAAGTGTGCGACGGAGAAGAAAAAGAGGACAACGACACGTAATTTATTTTGGCATTCTGCGAAAACGTCCTTTCTTTGTTTAAATTAAGAATGAAGAAAACTTCATGCGTGTAGTATAACTTTGTGCAAAGGTGCTGGCTGAATGTAAATACACGTGAACACGTGTGGTAAAATATTCAAAGTGAAATTTTCAATACATCATTACAGAGACACCAAATGAATCATTTACAACGACTACCAGCTATATCATATTTTCAGTTGGAGCAAATAACTGCAATTATTTACTTAGAACACAAGAAGATTAACAATAAATCGGATGTTTGTGCATTTTATAAACGTAATTAAAGAAATGGAAATTTCTGTTATTCATGAAATATTATGAAAATTACTTTCAACGTTTTAATCGATATTCTTGAAGTCTTAACTTCTCTGTTCAATTATGTTAAATTATGACCAAGCGGATCGTCACATGATCTTTTTTTTTTTTTTACGAAGTTGTATCAGATTAAATTATCGATAGATTGCGGATTTTTAAATTTTCCATTAGCGAAACGGAACCTAGACAGAAAATTGTTTCTTCGAACGTAGAATTATAATTAATAGAATTGTAATTATATTTTATATATTTTTACATTGCACAATCTGTTTTCGTATTTTTACAGCCTCAAATTTTCCATAAATGCATGAAAATCCGCAGTATAATTGTCAAGTATGCCCTTTGCTATGCACAAAAACAGGTATGTTGGTCCACGGATCCCTAATACTAGAACTATCGAGGACTAATCGTATAAAAATTGAGTCAAAGAAATTAGCAAGGAATAAGAAGAAATTTATAATACGATGAATGAACGCGAATTTTTATTCGTATGTTTTACAAAAATCATTCGAAACTCTAAAAAAAAAACACAACATTGCAAATAGGTCCAATTGCAAAATTACTCTACAAAAAAATCACAAGTTGCCCATTTTGTTAATTCCCTAATACACACTCTCGAAACGAGAGATCTCTGCTCAAAATGAAAACTAGTTCGAAGGGTGAGTTGAGAGACAAAAGAAAGAAACGCATCATTGCAAGTCCAACTGCAAAATTACTCTAAAAAGTCACAAGTTGGCCATTTTGAGCACTTTTGGTAATTAATTCTTTAACACACACGCTCGAAACGAGAGATGTCTGCTCAAAATGAAAACTCGTTCGAAGGGTGAGTTGAGAGACAAAAGAAAGAAACGCATCATTGCAAGCCCAACTGCACAATTACTCTAAAAAGTCACAAGTTGGCCATTTTGACCACTTTTGGTAATTAATTCTCTAACACACACGCTCGAAACGAGAGATCTCTGCTCAAAATGAAAACTCGTTCGAAGGGTGAGTTGAGAGAGAGAAAGAGAGAGAAGAAAAAAGAAAAGAATCGGGGAGCGCAGCGGCTAGCTGCCGTGTCTCGAATGTCAAGAACGCGGCGCCTGGTCCCGTGACCGTGCGTGCCACTTGACAGAGCGTCTTTCTTTGCCGTCGTCGATCGTCTTTCGGCTGGTGGTGTTCGTCAGCCCCCAGCAAAGAAGAAGGACGAAGGAAGACGAGGGGCGTGTCCGGTCGCGCGGCTTCTACAAAGGGATGCCCACTTCCCTGTGGGCCCCTTCCACTATTCCACCGATCCCTTCCACGTGGGTCCCCGGAGTCTTACCATCCCCACCATCGGGCCCCAAGAAAACTGGGCAGCATGGTCCAGACCACGAGATCTGCTGGCCAGGTGAAGTCAGTTTACGCATCGCTTCTGCACGCGGAGCACATACACGCAACTGGATCGCGATATCGAGTCACTTCTCGATCTCACGTTTCTCACGACGTATCAGAAACATGACGCATCGCGGCAAGATCGTCGTTTGATCCATCCGGGGCCCAGCTAACTAAGGGTCACTGTCTTGGCCAAAGTCATCAAACCTATCGTCTGTCAACCGCGTTTGGTTATTCGCGAGAAGAGAGATGATGACGGTCGATTGAAAGGGGACGCTTCTTCTCCGTGACACAGGGACAGTTCTGGTGTACTATGTTCTAGACTGTATCACGTGGTCGTCGAAAGTTAAGAAACACACGTACACACACACGTTATACCACACACATACACACACACTCGTAGTTAGCCCGAAGAAGATCGGAGAGGATACGGAGAGACGTTCCGCGAGAATGACCACGTACGCAAGTTTCCAGCAGTACGACCTGCTGGACTCGGAGGGTTACGGGTCGGCGAGTAGCCCGGAGTCGAATCCGCGAAGTTGGACCCACCAGGAGATCTACCCTCAACCACCGAGGTCCAGGGGTAGCAGCTGCGGTAGCGTGAGCTCGTTGGACTGTCAGAATCGCGAGTACCAGGAGATCGGTGTGGCGAACGGTGGCTTCCACGTGACGACTAGCTTCAACTTCACCGAGTTCTACGAGGGTTACTACCAGGAGGGTTGCCGAGGGTTGAACGAACAGCACGAGATGGGCCACTCGAGCAGCGTGAGGATGGCGAAGGAGCCGACGAGGCCACACTCGTTCAGGATGAATCACGAGTGCGCGGAGAGCGTTTACGAGGGCGAGAACCCGGCGAAACCGAGCCCGGACGTCGTTGGCCCGCCGACGAAAATGGAGCAGCAACAGGCGAGCAACGTCTTCGGCGGCGGCAGGTGCGATTTCGGCCAGAGTCAGGAGAGTTTCTTCGCGGGCAAGAGTTACGGCATCGCGAAAGGCGATGGTTTTTTGCCGAGGAGTAACGGCAATCTGCCTTACGGGCAGAGGGGCGACGTTCTTTATTTGGGCGCCGCTTACACAGCGCCGAGAAGCGAGAGCTACGCGGCGACGACCGGCCAGCACGGCGGCAAGTGCGAGACGACGTCCAGGTACCACCAGAAAAACGGGGCCCATGTCCCGTCGATCGATTACCCAGGGCAAAAGACAAAGGAGGGCAGCATGCAGAAGATGAAGAACGGCACGCCGGGCATCGAGGTGTTGAGAAAGAGGCGGCTGGCGGCGAACGCGCGCGAGAGACGAAGGATGAACAGCCTGAACGACGCGTTCGATAGGCTGCGCGACGTTGTGCCCAGCCTCGGCAACGACAGGAAACTCAGCAAATTCGAGACGCTTCAAATGGCGCAGACCTACATCGCCGCGTTGTACGAGCTGTTGCAGAGGGAGTGAACAACAAGCGCGAGAAAATTCGAGATTTCTGGCAATTCTCTCTCTCTCTCTCTTGTCCCGAGGCAACATTCGTTCGTGAATTGGACAGAGAAATCGGATGGACAGTTGCAGCCTGTGGTTCTTGCGAGCAGATTCAATCCAGTCGCCAGTGCCGAGGACTAAAGAGGATCGAGACGAGGGCGAGGATCGTTTTCTGTGTCGTATCAGGGCAAGGACAAGTGGAAAGCTGCGGCTTGCGCGTTCGGCGATGTTAAATCGGCAGATGAAGGTAAATGCAACGAGATCCAGCGAAATCGAAAGACTCGAACTTTGTCAAACTTGGCAATTCTCTCGAAACGTAGAACGTTTATTTAGATCGAAGTATTTTTCAGTTCACTTCACGTTTGCTCCTCGCTGATGCTTTTCCCGCCGATCGCGAAACGGAAACGAGTTTGACGAACTTGGCTGGGCTCAGCGCCTAGGGGATGCGAGTTTAAAGATGGCAAATGACACATTGATATGTGTTGTTTTTTTAAGACACATCACTCGCTTTGAATTAAGTTTGAGATTAATTTACGTTACACGTTCGGATACGCGGATATGGGCATAAATGTCTCTTGGTGTTGATTTATGTGGAAATTAGTAAACTTTTCGTCCGATGATGATTCGTCTTCGTTTAACAAACAAAGAGATATTACTACGGTATTAAAGAAGAACACGCGTACGTTAAATAAATTAAATTAAATTGAATTAAATAAAAGTATTAACATTAACATTATTAATATATTTTTATATAATAAATAAGTTTCTTTGTAAATTATAAAGAAATTAATTATGAATGCTATTATCGACTGAACAGAGCCGATTATCGTTTCGTGTTCGAACGTGTAACATTTGTTAATCGATCTTTGGACAGATTACGACAGATTACGAGCTTCGCCTCGAGTTTAATTGTAAATAGGCTATCATACAGCGTGTCTTAGCCCGTAGGTTTTGTGTAAATATCAAATTAGATGCGACTAAGTTATTACGACGTTGTGTAAGTAATCATGTACATATATATATATATATATATATAAATAATCGAGCCGTGAGACTACGAAAATGGAACATCGTCTCTATGTACGAGTGATTCACGAAGGTACCTCACTGTGAAAGCCAATCGCCAATTGACTACATGTAACACGTTCTGGAATTATGAAATTCGTACAGTGGCGGCCGAAAGAAAGAAAGTTTAACCAAGCAAGTTCTTCGATATTCTATTATATTTCTAAAATTCTAAATTATAAAAAAAAATTATACTTCTAAAATTCTAAAAAAAAAAATATTGTGTGTTTAAGGATTGAAGAACAAAAAAAAAAAAAAACAAAGTCAGATTTTACGAACTTGAACTTGAATTAGAATTGTACTAAATGCAAATTAATTGAAACTTTCTTTTGTCCAGCATCGTACGATGACTTCGAGTGTCGAGTTAAACGACTCGGTAAATGATTCATAAGAAGAAAGTCGGCGTGAGAAAGAAGATCGTATACCTCGTCGATTACAAGGGACAACGAAACTTTTATACAGTCGATGAAAACTTTTAAAAACCAAAGAATCCAGTTAGCATTAAGGAACGACACTGCGTTGACCCTGTTCTCTCCTGGCTACGAATATATTATAAACTTATACGACATGTCAGACGCGCAAAATTGGAACGACACATTTCTGTATTAAAAAAATACGATAGAACCAGTTCTATTTCATTTCATCGTGATTAAACTTACTCGTAGCAAATTCAACCTTGTCTTGTTACTGGCTCATAATTATAAAACTCCCGTCTTCGAGAGAAGATCATGATTGTCCACTATAATTTTATTTGCAATTATTTACATCGCTGCTACAATTTATATTTGTCAGAATTTCATTGGAAAATTGATTTTTGAGTAATACAATGTAACAGAAGTTTTTGTTCAATTGTTGAAAACTACGAATATTCTTGCTTTGGAATATTTTGCATTTTATAATTTCACACGAAGAGGATTTAACAGTCTAACAACAATTGCAGTATATTTCAAGTTAATGAACGTTGATTCTATCTTGAAAATCTGTATTACAATTGTTACAAAAATTTATTTACTTTGCACTTTGTATTCTCTCCAATAGAGATTAGATCAATTAGATTTAGATGGTGTACAATCTAAATTTTCATGGCCAACGAAATGACAATACAGTCAAGGGTCAACAACAAGAATACAAACATAATAATCAAGGATTAACAGCGAATGAACGGTATCTCTTGCGTTCAAGATTTTGTCACAAACATTCAATCGATTTCCCAGATACCGAAATATTCTTTGTCAGCATCTTTCTCGCGAAATATTTCCAGGAAACAACACGTTCCCCCGAGATCGTTCGATTGCACAAATCTCGATGAAGATATTAAACCGGAGGGACAAAGGCGCGTGGACATGGTTCTCTTTTCTTTCTCCGCCGAGGACAGACGCGATTCGGCCGCAATTAGGCGTATGCAAAAATCGTGGTGGACAAATGGCGGTGGTCGGCCACCTCCACTTAGCAGTCAATCACAATTAAATACAATTTTGCGCGAGCTTCGGGCTCTGGTAATGGCGCAAAAAGAGAGCAAATTGAAATCTCCTAGCTGACAGAATGATAGATGGTGCCGACCAGACGCGGCGAAAACACGAACGAGAGAAAGAGAGAGATTGAGGGAGAGAGGGAGAAGGAAGGAGGAGGACGACCGGCGAGAGAAAGAGGGACAGAGACGTGGAAGAGAGTTAACCTCTTCCTTCCCTGAAACCCTGTGAGAAAGCTGGCTTCTCTTTGCTTCGAGACGATGAACCGCGGGGACGACGAACGAAAATACAAAAGTCAAGCGGCCGACGACGTATCGCGCGCCAAGATCGACTTCTCTCTGCCCAATAATATCGTCTAATCCAATCAACTCACCGCAGATTTTTTTTTTTGAAACGTTTCTCCTGCAATCGCAGCCGACAATTACCGACCAAACTAAATTTTTACGTTAACCACCTGCGCTGGCAATCGATTGCGGACCATAACGAGCGACCGAACCGTACATACAATAATTCGCCGCTTTCTTTTTTAACTCGTCGGTACGATATCACCTAGGATAGAAATTATCGAGAAGTTATAGAGAATAAATTTATTATTTGTTTCATTCCTAGGTTATACTTAAATATACTTAAAACTGAGAAAATATTGCAATTTTGGGGGAAAAAAATTCTCGATATGCGTGGCACGTCATTTGGCAGCACAAGAGGTTAACCACGTTGCGCTGGTCAACTGATTGCGGACCATAACGAGTGACCGAACCGTCTACAATAATTCGTCGCTTTCTTTTTGAACTCGTCGGTATATCATATGGATAAAAATTATTGAGAAGCAGTAAATTATTTGCTTTGTACCTAGGTTATACTTAAATATACTTAAAACTGAGAAAATATTGCAATTTAGGAAGAAAAAAATTCTCGATATGCGTGGCACGTCATTTGGCAGCACAAGAGGTTAACCACGTTGCGCTGGTCAACTGATTGCGGACCATAACGAGTGACCGAACCGTCTACAATAATTCGTCGCTTTCTTTTTGAACTCGTCGGTATATCATATGGATAAAAATTATTGAGAAGCAGTAAATTATTTGCTTTGTACCTAGGTTATACTTAAATATACTTAAAACTGAGAAAATATTGCAATTTAGGGAGAAAAAAATTCTCGATATGCGTGGCACGTCATTTGCAGTGCAAGAGGTTAACCAATTGATTGCGGACCATAACGAGTGACCAAAACCATCTACAATAATTCGTCGCTTTCTTTTTGAACTCGTCGGTATATCACTCGATAGAAATTATGGAGAAGTAGTAAATTATTTGCTTCGTAGGTTATATTTAAATAATAAATTTAAATATATTTATTTAAATATACTTAAAACTGAGTATATTTATTTAAATATACTTAAAACTGAGAAAATATTGCAATTTTGGGAAAAAAAATTCTCGATATGCGTGGCACGTCATTTGCAGCGCAAGAAATTAACCACTTACGCTGGCAACTGATTGCGGACCATAACGAGTGACCGAACCGTATCTACAATTCGTCGCTTTCTTTTTCAACTCGTCGGTACGATATCACTGGATAAAAATTATCGAGAAGTAATAAATTTATTATTTGTTTTGTTCCTAGGTTGTATATATATATACATATATACACCTAAGTGGTTAGAAATATAATTAAGGGGGCAGGACAGTTTGACGGGCCTAAAAATTACGAATACTTTGGAGGGATAGTAAAGAAAAAAAAGTATAAAGTTTTCGTTCGAAATGGCATTTGCCTTGAAACGAATGATTTTAAAAATTTGTACCTATGGTCACTGTTGACCCAAGTAAAAGAACAAGCGATCATGGGACCACTGGGGCGGCGAAAGTGAGAAAATTAAAATCTACTCGCGATCGTAATCGACAAATCGGGACAAAGTGAGAAGATGAACTTCGCGAAAGAGAGAGAGAAACGCGCACGTCGCGCGTTTATCGCGCAAGCGCAATTAAGCGGTAGAAATTAGCGCTTCGATCGGGCACAGGTAGCCCGAAGACGGTAGCGGCGGATTAATCGAGGCTCGAACAAAGGGGCACCGGCCCCTTTGTGCGCGCGGCAGAAATCTATTTCCGCGTAGCTTCCTCAATTAAGCCGATAGAAATTTATGCGATTCACTGGCCGATTAGAGAGAAAAGGCTAATTATTCATCGACTCGTTCGGGAACTCGCAGCGTGAAGACGCGCGATGGCAACCCGCGGACAGGTTGCCGCGATATTAACCCCTTAAGCGTTTTGTTTCATTTCGAGAGTGTGCTTAATTATTTCCAGACGGTGACGAGTATATTCGACGAGAACACAGTAAAATGCACTTGCTGTAAAATTGAATTAATATTATGACAAAATGATACATTTTTTTTGACGTCTTTTTTCGATAAATTTTTAATTTTATTGGTATTCACGATATTTATAGAA